TGCTATTAAGTGGAGCTGCATACAAGACAAGTCTTGAAAGGATGGTGGCTACCTTACATACATACATACATATCTATACCGTGTATTCCGTGCTCAATATTATCGTCGTTTTTTGATAGTAAGTGACGAATTCGGATACAATAAATTCAAATATTATAAATTCAATTGTATTTAGATCTGCAATGGCTGGTCGAGGAAGAGCTACCAGTGGCATCTGGTACCATTTTGTGAAGCAGGATGATGGTAAAGGAAACTGCCGTTATTGCCATACTGCAATAGCAATGTCTTCCGGTTCCACTGCTAATTTAAAACGGCATTTGAGAAGCAAACACCCTTCAATTTCTATACTTTTTTCTTACCGTGCATGTTTTTCAGATATTTCTCGCAACACTTTTCAATCGGTTCTATCAACATTGATCGATTCTCTTCATGGACTTTCTCTTTGGATGGCCACAGCCATGTTAAAATATTTGCGGATATTTTCGACTCAGTTCGATTGATGAAGCAACAATCTAGCATCTACGGTACGTTAGAAGCGTTAGGTTCCTATAGTTGTGTATGGAGTCTCCATACACAACTATAGGAACCTAACGCTTCTAACGTACCGCAACTATAGGAGCGTTTACCCTACGACAAAGGCGACAGAAAACGTTTCAGTAGCTGTAATCAAACTGAACATTGCAACTTATTAGCGAAATAGAAAGTCGACGAAGAGAATCTGTCAATGTTACTGAAGAGAATCGATCAATGTAGGTTGGTCTATTTGAAAAGTAACACGAGATTTAAAGTATTTAGATAGCAGTAAAATCAAGGCCCGTTAATATTTTTTTTATTATATTCATACTTTATGTTATGTTATGAAGTAAAGTTCGAGGAAATATAAAGTTATAAGGAAGATTTATCCATGTTTTATTATTTATGATGTATTAAATGATTAAATATTGAACTGAAATCAAGTTCATGTAATTGTGATATGATTGGTTTTTATTTTATTATTTTAGGTTTGTTCTGGACTATGGTTACGTTGAGTCAAGTGTTAATTCAAACCCGATCACTCTCATTTACAAAAAATCCTGCATTCTGCATAGCTTCAAGTAAAATAATACCAGAAGTAGCCACGGTATTCGAGACAGACTGCGGAGCCAGATTGAACTGAATGCCTCCATCAAAAATACTTGCTGGAACGTCGGATTGATCCGAGATAGACTCGTGGGTCAGATCGAACTGAATGCCTCCATCGAAAGTACTTGCCGGAACGTCGGATTGATTCGAGATGGACTCGTGAGTCAGATTGAAATGAATGTCACTATCGACAATGCTAATCTTGGTACATATTCTGCAGAATTGGCATTCGTTCCACTCGAGTCAAGCCTTTGCCAAATATCATCGTCAGATGGAGAGGAGTAAGCCTGCTTATTGACAGATACCTCGACAGCATTACATGGCATACTTCGTAGCATATGGGCTGAAACCACCTGCTGCACTTCAGCCATTGCTTGAAACGCATTTTTAGATGACATTTGCTTCAGCTGCAAAGCCAAACTGCTGGCAAACAATGTAAACATGTCATCCTCTTGGGTGTTTTGTGGTTAAGCCATATTAATGACTGCATCGATAGCAGTTTGGTACTTGGTAGATACAGATCCATCTCTTTTTTTTTTTTTTTTTCTTTTTGCGTTCCGTTCTGGATTTTCTGGCGTACTAGCAAACACAGAAGCTGATTCCGTAACTGCTTCCTGGGTGATCTGCATTGCAGTTTCCTCCTGTACGATTTGTGATGTATCTTGGATGTTATCTTGGGTCGGGACATGCGGTAAGCGATCGTCAAATGGGTCTTGATAAGAGCTTTCACCCAGCTCAAAACAGTCTTCCTGTAATAAAGGAGATAAGTTTTAAGTATCTTCTACAGGCAGATTGGTAGTTGAGAATTGCTTGAAATTGTTTCCGGTACTCACGTTTTGGAAATTGCTAGAGCTTTTTCGCAAAACTATAGCTTCATTAAGAAATTGCATTTCATCATAATAAAATAATGAAGAGCAGAATATGTTATCCGCCGCTGCTCCAGACCGTTTCGAGGCATCCACTTTCTTTTTATCGCTCAAATATGTGGATCGCAATGATTTCATTTTCTTTTTTACATCGTCAGCCCCACAGCCAATTTTGATTGCAATTTCTTCCGTGCTCGTTTTTTTTAAAAATAATTCCTCTTGTACAGCGAGCTCTTCACATTCCACAAGCACTCTTTTTCTCGAAACAAACTAATCAAATTAATTACATCCGATCGCGTGAATTTTTTTCCGATGCCATTTTTAATTTCCGACGCGCACAACCTAAACGGAAATTGTTCAAATTCGAATTAGCACCATTTTGATTTCAGAAACTGTCAGCGCTGATGTCAGATATTTCTGTCAAAGAAAATGTTTGAACAGATTTGTTCTGACTGTTGACATTTCAGTCTCCACTAGAAAATTTTATTGACATTAACATTTTTGTTAAGACAGAAATGTCTAGTGGAGGCAGCAGATTAAGAGATTTAAAAGGAGAAGTATTCATGCTTTTAAAGCTGGACAGCTAGAATAATATATACATACAATCTGGACAATAGAGACATGATGGACATACGCGTGAGCATGATTGAAACGATTACGATTCGATCAAAATATCACAAAGATAACTCGTCTTGTAATTCTCCCATGCACAAACAAAGCGTATGGTAGTGGGACTAGATAGGCCCAAATGGACCATAATGGAAAAAAATAGAATATTCTGAAATGCATCTAATATCGTCAACCAAGAGTTGTTGCACATAACATATGTGGAACTCGATCATCAAAAATCGACCCCATTTCAGTGATCTGTCACATTGATTATACCAGCTGTAAAATGAGAAAGGGGATCAAGGGGCTTGTCAATTCGTTTAAATAATTCTACCGTGGTTAATAATTCTATGTGTTCTTAGCACTCCTGAACTCATGTCTTACTATTTCATTAACCATTTATGAACTTTGTTTATAATGATATAGTCAACTTTAACTAATTCATCACCTTGATTCACACAGCAAAACTGTGGTAAACTTAGAAGAAGCATGTATGTAACATTTCCTTCTTTGGACATTTTCTAATTTTTCGGAACCAATTGCAACAGACTTTGATTTCGTTAGGTTTCGTAGGAGGAAAAACACGACCGCGTAAATTTGGAATTAAGTGCTTACATTTTGAAGTCCAGAGAGAAGTAGCAAAATTTAGAACAAGAGTCAGAAGTACCATTTGATAAATATGCAGTGTTTCGAGCTAACTTTGCATCGTTCCATTCGCAAGAATTTTGCAAGCAGGACGATAAACGCTTATCGATGCCTGCAATATCCAAGATTTCAACCCTCCCTATGTTTCTCAACTGCCGTCAATTGAAAATTTCTTCAAAAATCTCAACACAAAGAACTACTCAAATTACTTGGTATCAAAAAACGTGGCAACCCAAGTAACAATTTCGGTTTTATAAGGGTTCTGTAGACCATGATTTAGACTTGTAGCATGCTTTAAAACCTCCATACAACTTGCAATGATACTTGGGAAGGTTGATCCTTGTTGATCGAAAAGGAAAAAGAGGAGCTACACACAATCATAACAAACTTTTTTTCGACCACTATGGCTAAGGTCCCAGGGTGGGACTCCCAGCTAGCTGTATCAAAGTTAAGCACTCTTTACTAACGAAAATAATCGTTAATATGCATCAACAGGATATTCCGTGATGTAATCATAAGTTGACTCACTAAAAGCACAGTTAACAATATTTCAACATACCACAGACAAAATGATAGTTATCAGCGTAATCATCAAATCTTCGAATTTTTTGCATTAAATTACATTCAATTAACATAATTTTCGTAAGGGCCAATGCTGCAAATGAAAACAATTACTTTTTTCGTGAATTTCTCGAAAATGAAAACTCACTCAAGAAAACCAACAACATGATTGTGTAGAGAAAGAGTCCTCCTATTCGATAAAATTAGTGGCTTACATGGATTGACTTTGACCTACGGGACATTTACGAAAGAAGCCATTATTTATGTTTTCGACATTGGTTCTTATGAACGCTCAGTGCCGATATCACGAAAATTTTATTTTGACAGATCGATGTCCAACTATGCCAGTTATACCACTGAGGCAAAACAAAAAAGGGGTTAGCTTTTTGCATGAAGTTCCTTATATGTTATGTGGTTGTTATTACAAAAACCCAATAGTTCAATACTTGAGCTGTCAAATAGTCCCACAGTTCCCCGATAGCAGAATGGGTTGACCACACATCTCGTTCTCCACTAATTATTTGTGACACTTTGTTTGCATGTAACTCAAAAGTAGCCATGTGCTGCACGAACAAACCCGAGCTAACAATTTATTCTTCAAGAGACAATTCTTTGCCCCACTAGACATGTACAGATTTCGTTCATTCTTATAGTGTGACTTAAGAATTTTGTCACCGCACACCGAAACAATCGTAGCTTCGCAAGACTGAAGGGGACGACTGGTTTTGCATGTTCTAACAGACGGAAATTTTCACTGTCTTAAAGCTTGTAGGATAGTACCCGATGATCGTTCCTATGTTGTACGATTCACGAGAAAATACGACGATCTTAACTTAGTAGCACTTCTGTCTTCGATAGGGATGTCCCGGAAGCATGGTTCATCGTTCAACTACTAAATGCTCGGAGTCTTGAAAAGTGAAAGTTTGATCAAATGGTTTAAATTTCTCCCTTTGATCGGCATTTGACTGAACACCCCTAGTCAGCGAGTCACATTCAATTATTCACACTCAACGTCGTCGTCGTCGTCGTCGCTGCTGTCTCTGTAGGCAAACCCGGGAGAGAAGCAGCGCGAGTGAACAACATTAGCGTACAAATTCTGCGCGCGAGAAAGCAGGCCCCAGTGTAGTTCTTCGAGCGAGAGTAAAGTTGATCCAATTGCCCATCCATACACACTCACACATGGCTTCAAGTGCGTACCATGTCGTGTGTATCGGAAAATACACCTTTTTCGGAAAATTTGCTTTTTTCCTGTGAGTCGCGTGTGTTTCGGTCGGTCCGTATGTGGAAAACAGCGTGGAAATCGAATTCTGATAACGCTCGGGATTAGTGAATATTTGCGAGGAGGCGAGCATTGTGCCACTCAGCTGATCGCGAATAGCGTGTATCGAACAACGACTACAACGACGACGACGACGGCGACGGCGGCGGTGGTGGCAGTGGTGGCGGTGATAGTGAAGGTGACGTTGAAACCGACGGCGGCGGGGGTGGCTCGTTTCGGGAAGGCGCCAGGTGATCGGGAATATGGGCGATAACTGGCGCCCGCGTGGTGAAATTCGCGTACGTTGGGCACTTCACCTCGGGCGGCGACGGCAGAGTGAGAGGAAAAAAGTGCGAAAATGTTATTAAACTTGTTTTGCACCCGTTTTCGTCCACCACCATCGGTGGGTGGATGGAAATTCTAACCTCACTTTCAGCGTGAATGCGTTCGATTTGCGAAGAGAGAAAAAATAAGTGATTGCCTCCCCACGGTTGACGGTCAATCAATGTGAATCTCTCGCTTAAGAGTTGTTTATGATGAATTGAATGAAAAGTGATTCCAAGTGATTTTCATCGGAAATTACCTTCGAGTTGAGGTTAGATCTAGGCGAAAAAGAGCGAGCAGATTTATTTATATGTGCAGAAATAGAAGAAAATAAAAAGGTCTAAAATATTTCAGCACTCGCGCGAGCCGTTCGCGTTTCCATCATACACACATATGTGCGAAGGTACACAGGTTCAGCACAGGCAGACGACCAAATATTAAATGATGCAAAATAAAAATAAATATCAAAACAGCATAATAAAACTCCAACTATAGGAGCCGCGCGGGAGCATTCTAGTGAGGATTCGGCGCGGTAGTGTAGCCAGGTCAGCGTAGTGTTCGACGATGGACGGACAGGGGCCGGAGAACGGATCGCCGTTTCGTCTCAAGCGTGGTGGAGATAGACCTGGTGTGAATGAAGAAAATGCATGGTATGTGTGATTTTAGTAACTATAGCCGTGGCAGTGTTGCCAATTGTGGCCATATTTCATTGATCTGCATTGTTTACTTAACATTTATCACTGCTTTATATTTTTGGGTGGAACAATTAAATGACCTTGCTTTTGCATGGCGAAATGTGTCAGGAGATTTACATTCAAGCTCACGGTGGTGTTTATGCTCCTCCTAGAACGGTGTATCGTTTGCAGATTTTTTCGCTCATGGATGCAAACTAATTTTCATATAGCACGGTCTGGCAATGTGATTTTATTGTTTACATTTGTCACATTTACTGTTGTAGGTTTTCTTCAACATACCACTTTATATTTCCGGTAGTTATTTGAGATTTGGGCGTAATTGCATTTGTAAACAAACACGTCAATCACCGATTTCTCGCGAATCTCGATCTCGATCTCGAAAACTAATAACAATATCAGGTAGATGAATGATTCCTCTACCATTTGGTTTAGTTTGCTCATGAGATTGATCTGTTTTTTATATCTTTATTAAGGAGACTTTCAGCCCTGGGCTGGTTCGTCTCCGGAAAGCCCAGAAGGGGGTATCACAAAGGGAGAGAAGGTACAGAGTTTTATTTTACGGAATTGAATGATGGTTGTGGTCCTAGAGGGAAACTTATTTTGCCTAACTGTTCTATGTTTCTGCCATCTTTTGTGTTTTCTGTTTTGTTTTGAGGACCCCAGCAAAGCCCCACCGGTAGAAGCTGCCAGGAGAGACCTGGCACCCGCTACCGGCAGGGAATGCCGGGCCTACTGTAATAATATATATGGGTTAAACTCTCTTGTAGATTCCGGCCTCCTTCGCGAAACATAACAGTTGTGCCTCTGCTACCGGGTCGTTCTGAAGGGCGTCTCGGATGTTGCCCGGGATCCCGTAGAGTTCTCGTGGTCTGTGGAAGCAAGGGCAGTTTATTAGATTGTGCTCGACCGTCATTGTTGTTCTGCAGGTGTCGCATCTTTGGCGGAAGTTTCCACCTCTGCTGCTCCCCATGTTGTGGATGATGCGGGTGTGGCCGGTTCTTAACCGGGACAGGAATCTCTGGTCGTTAAACCTTGGGACATCCATCCAGGGTCTTCCGGATGAAGAGGTCTCTCCTGGCGAACCATTTGCGGTCCCATGCCGTCCTGAGGGTTGACTTGATCCATATTTTCAGGTCCTGTCTGGGGACCGAAGTGTTGACGGGTCGGCCACTTCGTCCAATGGCTGCGAGGTGGTTTGCTTCTATGTTTCCGGCAATTTCACAGTGTCCCGGTATCCACATAAAAGTGGAGCCAGGGAGTGTGGTTTTGTATGGCCTGAATCCAGGGGTGGCGAGCGGTGGCGGATTCCAGTGCCACGAGGGTGCTAGCAGAGTTGGTTAGAATACATAGCGGAGAGGAGGATGGTAGGGACGCTGCGTAATGAAGGGCTGCAATCTCGGCCGAGAAGACCGAGCATTGATCGGGGAGTCTCCAGAAGTGTGAGGTCAGTCTATCAGTTACTTCAAAACCGACCCTGCCTCCTGCCTTGGAGCCGTCGGTAAAACGGAGTTCGTAGTTGTGGTACCGTGTTTGTAGTAATTCGGTGAGGCAGGAATTCATTGCCGTAGAGTTGGGTCCTGCTCGGAACTGCTTGGCCATGGATTTCTCCACTCGGATGGGGGAAGAATCCCACTCTCTGGCTCTGGCTCCGTTCCAGTAGAGCTGGGCCACCGGGGGAGCTCCTGGTGAGCGATTTCCTGGAGGATTCGTTTCCCTGCTGTGAGGAGATAGAATTCTCCGTCTCTGCTTAATTTTTTGTCAAGGCCCACGGCTATGGTACAGATTGTTTCCGCAATGTAATATCGGAAAGAGAGCACTCCGATTTAAATACAGGCGGTATCGGCTGGTGTTAAGGGCAGAAGTCCAGCCACAATTCGTGTTGCCTGGTTATATATCGGCGCTAGTCGGGTGATGACCGAATCGCTGGACGCACAGAGGAGCTCAATTCCGTAGATCAGTCGGCTATGAACAATGGCTCTGGCTGTATTGAGAACGATGGCCCTGTTGCTCGTTTTATGCGGCCCGGAGAGGGAGTGGATAATGTTCAATCGTGCTCGACAATTCAAAACCAACAATTGAAATGGCCTTAACTCCATTTTGTAAACAAACCTTGTAAGGCCATTTTCTCGCGAAACGAAACCTTCATTCGCAAACTTAAACCACAATCGGGTAGAGGAGAATTTCCCCTACCTGTTTATTACGTTGGTTTGCCTTTGCGAACTTCGGTTCGCGAGGAAATGGCTTTACAAGGTTTTTTTTTACAAAATGGAGTTAAGGCCATTTCAACTGTTGGTCTTGAATTAGTCCTGACATCATTAAGGTGGGTGCCAAACCGAAAGTTCCGGTCAATCGTGACCCCGAGGATGGATATGGTCTTCTTTCTAGGGAATTGATCAGTTATTCACGAGAATAAGGCGATTGTCGTGTTTGTTTATGAAGCGGATTTATGAAGCATGGGCGATTTTGGCAAGGCGACGCACGCTGCCAATAAGTTTTACTAATACATTTATTGTGGTAAGCTCCAACCGGTATTATCCTCGGATTAAATCCCGATCAAAAATTCCAGCTGCTTTGACGTCAACATCAGAGTTAGTAAACACGGCTCTGAAGAAACATTTAGCAGATCATCCAAACTGGGTTGGAATTTAAAGTTAATCCGAGGTGGAGCTTACCACTATTAGAAGGTGATGATTCAGGAATTCAAGAAGAAGAAGCAGAAGCAAATCGACTGATCGATAGTTTCCTCTCAGACTGAAACAGGCTGAATTTTCTATTTTCAAGGTTTTACTTTTGGAACTGCACCGTCTACACATCGGAGTGCCGAATGTATGCTTCTATCTGCTCGTGATCTTGAACCGACTGACCTAGCAATATAATTCAACTATTGCTTAAAATATCATCGTGGATATCAAGGATACCTACTTTTAAAGCCTGTTCCAGTTAGTTTTTGGCTGCTTTTATAATTACTGCAGCGTATCTAGTTGTCGTAGCAACATACTTGTTTATTAATTTATTTGATAAGGCTCAACCGAATTAACTTTACAGAGCCGAGGATTCTTGGTCACTATACAATACATCTTAAAACTATAGTCAAAAGGTACACCACAATAAACACTTTATCTTCCGCTATCCAAAAAGCCTTCTCCATCAGAACTGGAGCCGCTTCCAGTGGTTTCATTGTATGGCAAATTGTTGTACGCCAACGAGGGTCAGAGCGCGTCCATTGCAGCAATGGACGCAAAACGTGGTCAGCACTCACACACTCATCACGAAACGGTTGCTTTCCAAAGTCGACGACGCATCGACCGAAAGAACTGCTGATGAAGAACAATGAGGAGGACCACACAATGGTTGCTGCCGAGAAAACAGACGATCGCGCAGCACACATCGAGAGTGGCCTGCTTTTGTCGACAGCCGAGTGAACACTGTAGCAACATACTGTTGACAGCGTTTTGATTTGGAAGGATTGTTTACTCAGTGATGAAAATTTCATCAGGATTCATAAACACGTTTAAAAGTTATCGAAGATGGAACGCGAGGGACGTGAAATAATGCTGAACATTCTCGTTGAAAACCTTACGTGGTCGGGCAATGATCGCAAAAGTTCTCACAAACGTAAAAGTGGAACATATGACCGAAAATTACGAGCGAAGAACATTTGGGCAGTTCAAACGGATCCTGGGATCTCCGGACGTGATTAGGTGAGAAGGTTTTCGGTCGTACCATGCCAGCAAACATTCCAACAGGACGCTGAAACAAAACCTGGTTGCCAATGTAGTATATACCAAATAGAGTGTTAGTTAAATTTAGCGTACTTTGCGCTACCGTCACTTGACAGTTCGGGTATCGAACCGATCGAATCGGATTCACATATACAATAAAATTCACAATGGATAAAAGCTGAAGAAAATATATTCTCGGGTCATTCGAATGTGACAGAGCAAACTAGGAAAGTGAAGTTCTAACTTAATTCTGGAATATTAAAGTTACGACGAGTTTGACGAACTCTACGAGGTAGTTTAGTTCATTAATTCCTGCGTGACAGCTCCAACCGTTTGAAAATCTGAGGTGAATGATCTTGCTGGTAAATCACAGCGGCTTTTAATACATATATATTGTCCGATTGTGAACTGCTGCCTGGTTCCTGTCGTCCATCGATTTCGCTCAGTGCTGTTGGTTCGTGAATCTTCCCATTCCTTGTGGAAGACTGACGAAGGCTGCTGCGACACATATCGGCCCAGTATCTTTCCGTTTGTTTTGCGATCGTTCGGTGTCATTGCATCGTAAACAGCTTACGGACTGGTTAGCGTCGGCAAAGGTCGAAGGATTTCAGTGAAAAGTTTAATCATGGCGCAGTCGGCATCTACGATGGCCACCAGCATCGAGCCTTACTGAAAAGGTGCATGCTTTACTGAATGGGCTGAACGCCTGTAATATTTATTCCTAATTAATTTGGTTCCTCATGAACATAGAAAAGCCTATTTGGCAACTTTAGGAGGCCCAATTGTTTATTATGAATATAAATTATTATACCCTAATATGGATTTAGATACAATAGCATATAAAGATATGATTGGAAAGCTTAAGGCTAGACAAAGTGGCACCAAACATTATTCAGCGCCTTACTTTAAATAAACGGGTTCAACAAAGGGATGAAACTGTGGAAGATTTCGTACTAGCTGTGAAATTGCAAGCTGAGTTTTGTACTTTCGGTGATTATAAATCTATCGACATCAGGGACCGCATTATTGTTGGAATTAAGGATAAAGCTCTCCAGCAGCGGCTCCTTAATGAAGAAAACTTATCCACGGCTGCAAAAATTATTGCCACTTGGGATGTGGCAGGGGCAAATACCAAAGGGTTAGCTGGTAACAATGGAGTAGAAAGAATAGGTGCGATAGCAGCGTCCAGTAATGAATAGGTTAGCAGCACATTGGAAAAGCTTTTTAGCTACA